TACACATGTTTTAAGCCAGATGCTATATGGCATTCACAATTTTGAAAGGGCACCATTGATCATCATAACAATAAACTTAGCAGTTGCTTAGCTTGGTTACTGAATACCCATACGCAGGGTAGGGGAACAAAAATGCACTCCAACTAATCAATAATATTCATCAATAATCAGTAGTGCCCCTAACACTCTGACATAAACCCCTGACCCTAGGTTGCACAAATTTTTAAAAGGCACCCTTAGAATTGCCTATCAAAAAGTAAATAAATGTTTTATAAATACAAAGGACCAGATTTCAAACAATTAATTCATTTTCAGTATATAAGTTGCGCCCCCCCCCACCCCTGACCCTGGGGCCTTGAAATTCACAATTCTGCAAGATTAGGGACCTTGCTTATCATAACTACATAGGTAGTTTATCTGCTTCATACCCAGAGACAGAGAAGAAAATTTTCAAAGATTTAATGTATTTTCACTATATAATCAATAGATCCCCACCCTAACACCAGAACCCCAGACACTGGGGCAATGAAATTCCTAATTTTAGAAGAGGCATTCTTGCTCATCATAATTAGGCACTTAGTTTATTTAATACCTGGGAGCAGAGAAGAAGATTTTCAAAGAATTCATGTATTTTCACTTTATAATCAATAGAGCCCCGCCCTAACACAAGAACCACTGACCCTGGGGCCATAAAATCCACAGTTTTGGTAGAGGCACTCTTGCTCATCGTAACTGTGCACTTAGTTAGTTTATTTAATACGCAGGAGCAGAGAAGAAGATTTTCAAAGAATTCTGTATTTTCACTATATAATCAATAGAGCCCCCAAACACCAGAACCCTTGACCCTGGGGCCATAAAATTCACAATTTTGGTTGAGGCACACTTGCTCATCATAACTATGCACTTAGTTAGTTTATATAATACCTAGGAGCAGAGAAGAAGATTTTCCAGGAATTCACATATTTTCACTATATAATCAATAGAGCCCCCCCCCCCCCCAACACACACCAGAACCCTTGACCCTGGGGCCATAAAATTCACAATCTTAGTTGAGGAACACTTGCTTATCATAACTATGTACTTTATTAGAGAAGAAGATTTTCAAAGAATTCATGTATTTTCACTTTATAAACAATAAAGTCACCCCCATACTATATAATCAATATAGCCCCCCCCCCAACACCAGAACCCTTGACCCTGGGGCCATAAAATTCACAATTTTGGTAGAGGCACTCTTTCTCATCATAACTATTTACTTACTTGGTTTATTTGATACCCAGGGGCAGAGAAGAAGATTTTCAAAGAAATCATGTATTTTTACTATACAGTCAATAGAGCCCCACCCTAACACCAGAACCCTTGACCCGGGGCCATAAAATTAACAATTTTGGTAGAGGCACTCTTGCTCATCATAACTATGTACTTAGTTGGTTTATTTAATACCCAGGAGCAGAAAAAAAGATTTTCAAAGAAATAATGCATTTTCACTATATAATTATTTAGCCCCGCCCAGCACTAGAACCCCTGACCCCAGGGCCATGAATTTCACAATTTTGGTAGAGGACTCAATGCTGATTACAATCATGCAAACAAATTGACTGCTTGATGTCCAGGAGTAAAGAAGGAGATTTTTAAAGATTGCATTAATTTTTGTGGTTTTGGCCCCACCCCTCAGGCCCCAGGGGGGCAGGGATCATGAAATTCACAATTTTTGTTCCCCTTCACCCATAGATGCTTTGTGCCAAATTTGGTTGAAATTGGTTCAGTGGTTGCAGAGCAGAAGCTGAAAATGTTCAAATGTTAACACACGGACGACGACGGACGAAAATGGATAGCAATAGGTCACCTGAGTTGACCTAAAAATGCATCAATGGCCAACTTGTCAACCAAACATTAAATAATGTGGCGAAAAACCAGTTGTCTCTTGTTTGGTTGCATTATATGCATGAACCAACGGTAATATATAAGATTTCCAATCATCGTCAAAGGGTCAGGGTTTATGGTGTTAGGGTGGGGCTCTATTGATTATATAGTGAAAACGGATTAATTCTTTGGAAATCTTCTCTGCTCCTGGGTATTAAATAAACTAATTAAGTACATAGTTCTGATGAGCAAGAGTGTCTCTACATAAATTGTGAATTTTATTGCCCCAGGGTCAAGGGTTCTGGTGTTAGGGCGGGGCTTTATTGATTACATAGTGACAATGCATTAAATCTTTGGAAATCTTCTTCTCAGCTTCTGAGTATTGAATAAACTAATTAAGGAGATAGTTATGATGAGCAAGAATGTTTCTACATAAATTGTGAATTTTATGGTCCCAGGGTCAGGGGTTCTGGTGTTAGGGCGGAGTTCTATTGATAATATAGTGAAAATGCATTAAATCTTTGGAAATCTTCTCTGCTCCTAGGTATTAAATAAACTAAGTAAGTATTCAGTTTTGATGAGCAAGAGTCCCTTTACCAAGATTGTGAAATTCATGGCCCCAGGGTCAAGGGTTCTGGTGTTAGGGCGGGGTTCTATTGATTATATAGTGAAAATGCATTAAATCTTTGGAAATCTTCTCTGCTTCTGAGTATTAAATAAACTAATTAAGGATATAGTTATGATGAGCAAGAATGTTTCTACATTAATTGTGAATTTTATGGCCCCAGGGTCAGGGGTTCTGGTGTTAGGGCGGGGCTCTATTGATTATATAGTGAAAATGCATTAAATCTTTGAAAATCTTCTTCTCTGCATCTAGGTATTAGATAAACTAAGTAAGTACATAGTTATGATGAGCAAGAGTTTCCTCTACATCTGGCTAATAAGCAGAGGAACTATTTACATGGTTATGATGGGCTCTTCTTCCAGAATTGTGAATTTCAAGGCCCCTGGGTCAGGGATACCAAAATGGGGGTGGGGGAGGGAGGTGGTTCTACTTATATACTGAAAATGAATTGTTTAAAATCTGTTCCTTATTATTAATCAACCATTTTTGATAAGCAAGTGTGCCTTTTCAAAAATTGTGCAATGTGTAGACCTAGTGTCAGGGGTTCACGTGTGGTAGGAGCACTCCTGATTATTGCTGAATATTACTGATAAGTTGACATACATTTTTGTTCCCCAACTGCTTATAGGTATGAAGAAAACAAACAAAGCAATTGCTAAGTGTATAGTTATGATTAGAAATATTGCCTCTTTCAAAATTGTGAATGCCATAACATCTGGCTTAAAACATGAACCAAATTCAATAATTTGAAAGTTGTTGCATGATGCTCAGGTGACCTCTAAGGCCAGTGGGCCTCTTGTCCTTATTTTACATAGATATGAGTTTGTATATAGTATTTTATTTAGAATTCTGTATTGAAACCATTGCAGTTTACTATTTGTTGTAATTTTAAATGGAAGTTTAAAAATCATCTTCCATTCACTTTAGCGACCGACGCTATTGGTTCTTCCCGCCAAACAATATAAACAAAATGACCAGGATACAAGTCAAAGTTTACATAAGACTGGTAATGTTGAGGAAACATATAGTCAAATTATATATTGACTAACGGAACGGAAGAAAATGACTTCAATTCTGGTCAACGTGACAAAATTATCCCCCACCCCGATCAACTGATTGAAAATTGGGGAAAAAAAAGGTAATTGCATTACTTCCCTATTTACCTACAATATATTTTCACAGAGCTTTCTCAAAACATTTGGCCATTTATTTTAAGAAAAAAAAAAATCTTGTTGAGTATCTGTATTTACATTTTAAATGTAGGACACCCCAAGAATATTTTAGCACCCATTTTATATAATAAAACATATAATTAAGCATCATTAACGATTTGTACTTTAAATCTTTTAACTTTTAAAATATCAAAAACTATAGAAACCTTTCATTCTTTGGTTCTATCAATTATATTTATAACATATGTGATCTTTCAGTTGGATCCTCACACCATTTAAAGATGATGGTAATTTGACTGAATCTCAGAAAAAATATAGCAACATTCACTCCACAACCAGACAGACAATCGAGAGGGCTTTCGGATTGTTGAAATCCAAATGGAGAAGATTGAGATATTTGGATATGACAAAAGTTGAGGACATACCAATGATTATAACAGCTGTCTGCACTCTGCATAATGTTTGCATAGAGGTTAAACTAAATTAACAGATCTACACACACGCAACACTTTGATCTTAACCAAAAGGCCAAGAAGACAAAGATAAGTAATCCTTGGGATTTATTACATGTAGCTCATAAAATGCAATCTAGCTTCAAAAGCATGTCCTAGTTGACTGGAGGAGCTTTGAGGCCATTGAGCTTATCACTGCATGAAAAGTCGGGTTTAATTTTACCTTAAATGTGATTTAAATGCTGCGATTATTTAATGTTTAAGGTTGTATGAGTGTGAGCATTTTACATAACACAAATTGGAATGAAGTCGCATTCAAAGTAATGTCAGTAAAAGTGTCTATTAACTTTACATAATTAAATAATTCATAATATTGTAAAATCAACTTTATTACTTATTTTTTTCTGATTAAAAATGGGTATTAAAATATCTGCATTGTCATCGAGTACGTCTCGTATTTTTACGACAACAGACCCGTTTCCGATCTCCATAGTAACGACAGCGCTGGATTTCCCGAAATGAGGAACAACGGAAAATGGGACGTGCAAAGGGCAGCTTTGCCGCCCGCAAACGGATTTTTAAGATACAGAAACCAATCAGAAGAAGAAGTTGATGTAGTGTATATTCAAAAATCGGTAAGGAAAAAAGTATCGGATATATGTAACACGCCAAACACGCTTACCAATGCTTACGGGGGCTCAAAATTTCACCTGTTACTGTGTGCCCATATTTCGACAGTCTAATCAATAAGTGACAGTTTTATATATCCCAAAGGCTAGACAATGTGTTAAATAAACGTTATTGGAATTAGGCTGCACAAATAATTTAGGTCTAATATCAACGAGAAATCAAATGTATTATGAACGATTCTGATAACATTTTTTCTTCGAGATTATCTTAGAGTTATTCCCCGTTGTGAAATAGAAAGTACATAACCCGGCATTTTACATGTAAACAAAGTGCTCGAAGATTGCAAGGAAACTAATTTGTAATGTAAGTTGAAGAAAATGTTTGAAGAAGTTAAGATTCATGTATGAATAGGAGAAATTTTCTGTTGGAAAATATGTCTGAAATTGAATGAAAATGATTCATAAAACCAACTCAAATTGTGTTGAAATCTTCAAACAAAAATGTGTGAATGCTGCATCTATATTTACACATTGTGATAATTCAGATAAGGCCATAAGAGATACAAATCTGCATGTAAAAAATTAATGCTAGGGTTGTGGTGAAGAAAAATATGTTGGTCTGCATAAATTTAACACATATTTTTATGTTATGGGGTTTTATTTCAAGATCATTTAATACATTGCACAATTTCTCGTCATTCATTTACATTTATGTATAAGTAATCTGGAAAGTCAAGAAAATTCAAAGTCAATTCTTATTGAGTAGTGAGTGTCAAGATCACATTTGAGGTCATATCCATGGGTGTAGGAAGCAAATTGAAAGGGGGGGGCTAAACCAGCTAAACCAACAAAAAAAGGTATAAAACCCCAATTTTCAATGCATAGAAATTATCTATATTCGCAAAGAAAGTGGGGAGGGGGGCAAAGCCCCCCCCCTATGATATCATTAATATTGGATCAAATTTCTAGAAACCTATAGTCACTGTGTTAAAATTTAATACATGTATACTTTATTCATTACTGATAATTGTTCACACAGGTATGATTTTTTTTCCAGTTACGGGTATGATATCAGTTACACGGGAGTTCATACTGCTTTGCAGCTGTCTGTTGGTCAGTCGGTCAGTCTGCATGTCGGTTCACCACCAGTTTTTGTTTATTTTCTTTGCAGAGGTTGCACATATTGAAATGAAATTTGGTATACAGATTTATCATAAGACTATATAAGTCAAGCTTTCTTTAGTAAGATCAGGGCATTGTTTTCAGATTTATATCCCCTCAACTTAGAAAAATTCCAATTACCGGTACATGTATCTTGGAGAATGGGGAGGGAGCAATGAGTGTTTTACAAACATATCTTGTTCAAGGACTAGCTGTTAATCTTCAAATATCCTTGTTATTTCACAGGCAGCAGAATACGTCTACAAATGAAGTTAATAGGGAAGGACCTTCGCAGGCTTCTGGATGTGCTGCAGAGGAGTTCTCATGATAACCATAATATACCAGCAACGATAGGTTTTTATGGGTAAATTTTTTACCTTTATCATGGAATTTGACTAACTTTTGAAAAATGTACTTTAACCCAGGGCATACTAACTAAACTGGGTGTGAAATTTGATTTACTTTTGAAAAAGTCAAGTCTAGTGGATAATTTTTTAAATGGTAATGATACATCACTTATATGTATTCTTTTGTATTGTGTTGTATTTGGTAGGGGAGTATCACATTTATTATACCATATCTTTTCTAGTTAAGTTTACCTTAATAAATGAATATGTAATCATTTATATTATTGTATTTTAGCTAGAGCGTATGCTACACATATACTACAAATTTCCGCCATCAATGGAGAAAACCACTTCAACCAGCACATATTTACAACCAAAGACTCCAATTTGTCCAAAAGTAAGAGAAATAACTGTTACTAGGACTGAGAGGAAGGAAATGTACCACAATGACAAAGAGTGAGGTGAAAGCAGTAAACATAAGGACAGGTCCTACAAGCTTTTTGGATTTTTTGTCTACCAATGACAGTGTGGTGGTACTTGGTCATAATATAAGAAATTAATATGTTTCTGTACTTTTTCAAGCATTATACTGTCTTGTGAAATTATGGAAAGAATTGTCACACAAGTTCATGGTTTTCTAGACACTCTTCCATTATTTAAACTAGTCAAGTCATGTCTGAACTCATAATACAGGAAATTATTGTTTTATATACTTGAAATGAAAGTTCAGGTATAATATTATTTCATAAAATTTGTACAATATTCATTTTAATACATATTGTATAATTTGGAAATGTTATTGGAATAATGCTGTCATAAACATGAGAAATTTGCAGAGAAAAGATGTTCAGAGGAAATTCGGGCTGAATATTTTCAAAATGGCTCCACTCTTTTTTCTGAATATTGGACTCATTGATTGATTGTTGTCATATTTCATGTAAAATCTATGCATTTTTTGTTTCCATTACTCTGCATGTAGTAACATATGTGACAAGGATTCATATTTCTCATATCTCATTGTTATAGTCAATGGACAATATCTAGGTGGCATTGTATTAAGGATGTACATTGTGAAACATTAACTTTTTTTATTTAATTTATTTTACAAATGAAAGTTGTTCAGGTAATATATAGATCATAAAAATTGTGACATGTTCATTTTTATTTAGATCTTTTTTTTTTTATTGAAATGTAAATGAGGATCAATACTTTGAGAGAAGTCGTAAACATGAAAATTTTGCAGAAAAAAACTGATCAGAGGAATTTCTGGCTAAATATTTTCAAAATGGCTTCACTCTTTTTTCTGAAACTTGGACACAATAATTGATTGTTGTTTTAGTTCATGTAAAACCTATACATTTTTTATTTCCATTACTCTGCATATTGTAAAATTTGTGATAAAAATTCATATTCCTCATATTTCATTGTGTCGAATCATTTGACAATATAGATGGCTATGGAGGACATTTAATGAAACATTGACTTTTTTTAATTTAACAAATGAATATTGTTCAGGTAATATATAGTTTATAGAATATTGTACCATGTTCATTTTCCATTTAAGTTGTTTTTTTATTGTATCATAAATGAAGACAAATTTAGAGCAGTTGTATTTATGAGAATTTTGCAGAGAAAAGCTGATCAGAGGAAATTCGGGTTAAATATTTTCAAAATGACTCCACTCTTTTTTCTGAAATTTGGACAAATTGATTGATTGTTATGATATTTTTAGAAAATAAATTGTTTTTTATGATTCCATTACTCTGTCTATGTTTTATAATTTGATTAAGATCCACAACTTTAGTATTTTGGTGAAAGAAATTACGCGTCATAGGTGGCGCCGCAAGCACAGTTTATAATTTGGTAATTTTTTTTTTATTGTTTTAAGTTTTAGAACAGATGTTCCATGTTTAATAAAAATTAACATTTCAAAATTTTACATAATATTTGACCTATTTTTTGAAGTTGGAGTGCGGACTATATTTTTAAGGAAAATATATATCACACAGAGTTACCTCCCTTAGTTTGGCAACCACTAGGGGACAAACGGCTACACTCTTTTTATTTATATTATAATCATGTATTGCTTATACATATGTGTATCCATTATTACCAAAATCATTTGTTTTCCATTACTTTGATTTCACACTCATACTACCTTAAATGCATATTATAACATATTGTGGGATCGTAAATGTTAGAAAATAATTAGCATTTAATACGAGTTTAATGAAAAATTAAAAGAACAAATTCAATAAAGTTTGGAAAATTGTAAACTTACTTATACGTTCGGATTTTAGTCTGCCGTAAACAATTATTATACCTCTAATATACATAACGTATAATTATTATTAAACATGGCCATAAAATTAAGTTTTACGGTCACATTAAATTTGTTCGTTTAATAAAATTTAACGTAGATCTTTACCTCATTATTTTTTGTTAAATTCACACTTTATAATACTTCCAAAAAGTAAGTTATTTACGGAGAATTGTAAACTTACTAATACGTACAAATTTTATTCTTTCATAAACTAATATTAAATCTCTTGTATATGTGATGAAAATGTACGGATTAAACCTTCCCATATAATTAAGATTTAAGGTTGTATTTGATTAAATTTAACATTATAATATTATTGCATAATATTTTTATTTTACATTTATTCCATCAATAATTTGTATGGTTTACAATTTGTGGGTTTTTTGGCAAGTATTTTACAATCTTACACAAATCCATTTCTCATTCAATTTTATTAGATGTTATCTCAATAGTGTACAAACAATGAGTTCTAACAAAGTACAAAATATTTCAAATTTAAGCCTAAAAGTCAGAATTTAAAAATTAACAATCATGATTGTAGCTCAATTATAATGGAGTAAATTTCTACATACTAGTAGTAAGTAATATACTGAAGTAATTATAAATAATATAAGAATAGCATTGTATGTAAAATTCAAATCCGCAATAAATCAAAACACAGCAGGTAAAAAATGTAGTCATTCTGGACTCCAAAAGACTGCAAAATCTGACTGAAACTGTCCCTATTAAAACTTCTGTATGGGTTGTAAATGGCTTTTCAATTTCCCACAATAAATTATATCAAACTTTGCATAAAAAGAATAAAAGCTGCCAATAAAAGTTGTCCATTCTTTTTACATGTACATTTTAATAAGACACACTAAGCCACTAACAGAGAAGCCTCACTCGCCCACAAGCAACAGCAAAAGGATCGGTCAGAGAAACCACCTTTCTCTTGCTTGGGTATCAAGATCTGCAACTTACTGCCAGCAAAGCTCTTTTAGACCACCCTTATATTGTTTCCCAAGTATTTCCACAATAGATGTCCATGCACTAATTATCCAAGTTCAACTTGAAAAATACTTAATGTTGATTGTGAAAAATACAAGACCCAAAAAAACCCTTTATATCATTTGGTTATGTCAATTCAAATTAAGGAAAAAGTATCACAATTACACAAAATAATAGCAGCTTAAATTTGTTTACAATACATGTAGCTCATTTCTGTTCCAACTGCTAGGTTTATTGCTTGATGATTGTAATATAACATATCCTCATTAAATCAACGTTACATTGGAATGCAAAACATTTCAATAGTGATATTTTCAACTTTGCTTTAAAATATCAAAAATGAGCTCTGAAACATGCACATATAAAAGTCCTGTATAAACATATGTTAAAGTATATTTAACAATTTTTTAAGCCTTAATTACAATTCCATAACTCATAATTCATAAACTCTCTTACTTCAAATGGAAGGAAACAAAATAATATTTTACTCTTGCAATTCTCATTACTCTTGCAATATCAATTGTAATATTTATTAAAATCACAATTCACTCTTTTTTTACTCAGAAATGTCTCTACCTCATTTGCCTATTCTATTTTTTACATCTATGACTCACTAAGCCACTGACAGAGAAGCCTCACTCGCCCACAAGCAACAGCAAAAGGATCGGTCAGAGACGCCACCTTTCTCTTACTTGGGTATCAAGATCTGCAACTTACTGCCAGCAAAGCTCTTTCAGACTACCCTTGATCATGATTGTCTTATTTTTTCCACAATAATGTCCATGCACTTACTATTTAAGTTAGACTTGTACATATATATAAATCAAGATTAAAATGTATGTGATTGCGGATTACACAACAAACCAATAAATGTTTAAACAATAAAATACATAACAGTTTTAATCTGTACTCAAGCATAAGAAAAAACTTTCACTGTCAAAAATACAACACTAGGTATATTTTTCTTATCTAACATTGAATTTGTGCAAAACAGTAGCAACTCAGATATTTCATCTCTAATAGCCCATCTCTGTTCAATTAATACATCCATAGGTTTGACTCTTTTAGATTCTTTATTTGTCCTAGTTCTTCTTATGCTCTGCCTTTTAGAGTGCTTTGATTTGAGAATGGCACTTTTGGTGTCCTGTTCTTTTAAGACATTCTCACATTCATCAGAACGCAACTTCAGCTTTCTTATTTCATAGATAGTATTATCTTTAGAATCATTTTTTGTACTATGAAGACGTAATCAATATTTAAAACTGCTTTTTCTTGCTTCTTCTTCTCTTCATGCCAAGAAGTTTTCAGCTCTGGAGAAGCACACCTAGCTCCTAATTTCTACAATAAACATATACAAATAAATACCCATTTACCTATATATACATATTATATGTGTGCTTCCGGATTTATGCAATTGCATATATTAAATAGTAAAAACAAAATCTGAGTTGATTGTAAAATTATCATTTGACCTAGAGGAAACACAGCTCAATTTTGCTTAATTAAAAATTTACAGAAGACTACAAAAGATATGCCATTTTTTCAAATCTGGTTAATAAAGACAGAATTATCTATAATTTCAGGTCAGCGAGCTACAGATTTCGAAGCGTGTAAATTTGGGACTAATGATTTTTTTCACCATCTTTTTTTTGGAGCATTTTACCTGCTTGACCTTGAACATGTTGAGGTGCCCTTTTCTCTGCTCCTCCACACTAATTCTTTCATTTATAATTAGCAGCAAGATACTATGGATATGGTAAAAAGCTGTCATAAACAAAATATGAAAAATTAATAACAGATGTGGCTCTCCATAGAAAGAATATAAAAGAAGGAGAAAAAATATACAAACAGGGTATACTTATGACTAACATGACTACGGCAAGAAGATAACATTTTACACAATGAAAAAAATTCTCTGTGTCATCTAGTTAAGCGAATTGCATAAAAAAAACATATAATTATATGTATAGATCAAATTTATAGACGACAAAATATGATATGAAACATACATAATGGTACCGTAGTCCGAGCACATGAAATTTGAAGATTTACAAAGTTTAGGAAAATGCAAAGAATAGCATTTACAGCATTTATCATATTAAGACACACATATATATAGTTTCACAGCAGCAAGCTGCAGAATTTGTGGAAGTACATGTAAATTGGGGACTGGTGACTTTTTGCCATCTTTTTTTTTTTTTAGCAATTTACCAATGTATTTACCTGTTTGACCTTGAATATATTGAGGTGCGCAGCCCTTTTCTTTTAACATTCATACAATAATAAAATCCTCAAACTTTGTGATCTAGTACATATTATGATATGTATTATATTAAATTTAGAGACGACAAAACATGATATGAAATGGGTGTACATACTCGGAACACATGGAATTTAAGAGTAAACTTAAATGCAAAGGTTAGCATCTACAGCATTTAACATGCAAGTTATTGGGATAATGAACAAGTGATTTAGCATAAAGTAAAATATATTAACAACTTACACTGTAGATAGCAAGTTTTTAAAGTGGACAACAAATGCAAACTTCCAGTAAATGGTTGCAATCTCATACACAATAAGTTGTACAACAAATGATAAGTTCGTACCTCATACTGGGTAGCCAAATATCTGGTCAAGTCACTTTCAGGAAGAGAGCCTCAGCAAGTTCAATGTTGATCATTCCCATAGCTACTTCAAACTTTTCTGGCACAATTTCTGAAAGAAAAGATGTATCTTACAGGGATTTTTATTCAAACTAGGAATAATTCTCATGAATGTAAAAAGAATGAGTGCACTTAAGCTATGAGATTTGGATCCCGATGTTTTACGCAAAATAAAATTCCAAAATTCATTAAATTTATGTTTTATAGGTATTAAACAATGTCTTAAGAGCAGGTTTTGGTATATTATATTACATGAAAG